CGAAAACTGAAAAATAACTTAGTTCCTGGCCCCGGGTTTTTAGGGTTAAATTTGTAGACATTAATTTGGACATTGGCATTAATATTTTGTCGGTAATTAATTGGTGGCTAGTTTTGTTGGTAATCGGTGGCTTCTACACCCCACCCCCTCCCCCACTGAAAAAGGTCTGGCGACGCCCTTGAAAACAAGACAGTTTATACACTCAAGATAGTTTTTGCAAGTACTACTGGTGAAGTACCGGACCACCGTCTTCGTGCATCATGCAGCAACGAAGCATACACAACGTCTCAGGACGTGACATATCACTTTTCTCTAACTTCTAACCAATCAGAAGGCCTCATGTTTTTTTCCAGGAAGTGCAGGTGGACAATTACGACAATAATGCGCCAAATGTGGTTCTCAAATTGCAAAAGATCCCTACTCTTGGAGTGGGTAGGAGAAAGCAATTTTACGTCATATTACTCCAGGAAGTGTCTAAAAATTCGTCTAATGTGGTTCTAAAATTGCAAATGCTTCCTACTCTGGGAGGAGGTGAGAACCCAGACCCAACCCCCCCCCCCCCCCCCGTACTCCGTGAACGGAGGGATACCATGCGTGTTCCAAAATTCTCCGGCTCGTAACAAAAGAAAAAGGTCTACCCGTATTGACTTTACACACCGGACTTTTGCTGAAGAGGGGGGTGGGGGGGGGGGGGTGCTGAAAAAGGCTCGTATAACAAAAGAAAAAGGCCGACCCGTATTGACTTTACAAACCGGACTTTTGCTGAAAGGGGGGGGGGGCGGGCTCCGCTCTGTCGCTTCATCGTTTTACATATATTTCACCCATGCCATGTTGTGCCCCCCCCCCCCGGTAAGAAATTCCTGGATCCGCCCCTAATGCCCATACCCCTTAAACTTCGGGAGCTCTATCCCTTGACCCCCGCCAGGGCTTTGCCCCTAAACCCCACTTTGAAAAACGTCAAGCGGGGCCTGCATGTAAGAGTGGGGTGATGCGGATTTTTTTTTTGTCAGCCCCCCCAAACGTTTTTGCTCATTACGCCACTGTGAGAAAGGCATAAAGCAAGAACGGTTTCTCAGCAAAACATGTGCATCGCCATTTTCTCGATTGGATGACGTACTACGGCTATGCGGAGTCGTTAATCAACTAAATGAATTCAAATGTATGGATGCTTCCTTCCCAGGTGTTTGTGGCGTACGTTGAAGCATTTTATTCACCTGCCATTATCCTAGTATTCCAATTGACAGAACGCAAATTGCATAAATAAGTTGGTGCTGTTCTGGGGTGAATATTGCGCATAAAATAATAGATTTTTGTCAACCGCTATAATTTTATATTTTGGTATTTTTGAATATAATTACAATTGTTACCATATTACATATTTTTCACCAAGTGTAGTTATTTCCCTTCCTGGCTATGAATTTACCTCGTTAAAAAGTTAAGGTTTCGTTATTGAATTTAAAAAGTCTTTCCAATTAAAGCTTGGTGTTTGAATGCATGTATGTATAACTCCGCCTGGTACGTCACATTTTCAAGAAAAATGGCAGCGCCCATAATCATGCTAAAAGGCATCAAAATGCGCCAAGAAATCTTCATTTATGTATCTCTTGTACTGCACGTTCGTAAGAATTGTTTTACATCAAAAGGCAGGAATTCATCTCGTTTTTCAGAATACCTACATGAACACCTATTCTTTGGGGTTCGTCTTCTTTTAGCAATCAATAAATTGAATGGTTTATATTAATACACTTTGGTGGAAATTCAGCTACAAGTCATGTACTGTACTTTACTTTGTGTCTTTATTTGAAAAACTATGTCGGGGTAGGGGTGCCGATACCAGATTTTGTGTATATTATGGACATAATTGATATACCTTCATCGGTAATTGTTCCCAGTATACTTACATGAATTAGATTAATTTTTGCATTGATCAGCATATTGGAGAATAAAGGAATGACTCGAGTGAAAGGTCGAACTTAAAAATATTGTATGAAGAGAGGGAGGGAGGGAGAAGAGAGAGAGGAAGGGGGAATATTTGAGAGGGAGAGAGAGAGAGATGTCGTGAGTATAAACTATAGTGAGAGGTAGGAGAGAATTAGAAAATAGATCGATTTGGAAGAGAGAGACAGAAAGATGGTCGGATAGAAGATTAACAGAGTGCGATGAAGATAAAGAGGAATATTAGGGAGTCATAATTTATACAGACAAAAGATACTATAGAGATATTACATGGTAAAAATGGAAGGAACGAGAGAGGAATATCATAAAGTGAGATGGAGGAAAAAATCCTGGGAAAGAGAGAGGAGGGATGGTGGTGGTGGTGGTGGTGTATATACAAAGGGATGGAGATTGGGAAGAGATGAGCAGGTGCGGCCAATTAAGCGACTTCCAAAGTGGGGGGGGGGGGGGTCACCAAGAAAAAGGGGCACTTTCTGGAAAAAAGGGCACCTTCAAAGGGAAATCTCAATGCGAAAATATACAATCTTTTAGACATAGGTATATACCCCTACATTGTGATTTCATTATCAGGGATGATTTCAATATTTGTTACACTTTATACACCATACAAGATACTGCTTAAGCATCATGCTTTGCAGTTGGGTGTGATGGTCTGAAAAAATATTTGCCAGCGAGCGAAGCGAGCAAGGAAAATTTTTAATATTTGTGAGATCGCAGTGCGAAAAATTACATCTTATAACGAGGACAAAACCCAACCCTGATGGGGATATAAGCACATTCTCATAACGGAAGACTGAATAGACCTTTGATATACTAGGTAACATAAGTATATCATCTATAGATGCGTGCGAGCGTAGCGAGCGAGCTTTGGGAGAAATTGCTCTTAGTTGCTTGAAATTTGGGGCGCGTTTAATGATGAGAGGAAAAGGGGATACTTATCTGAAAAGAAAAGGAGCATTATTTTGTCTAAGTACAAAGAGTAATTATCAGAGGTGAAAATGGGGCACTTCTTACACCTTCAAAAAGAGGCACTCAACCAGAGATGAACAAAGTCAGTCATGAAAATAGGAAATGGGCATTTTTCGACGCAAAAGGGGCCCCCATCAGATTTTGATAGGGTCATTTATAGGAGGTGAAAAGGGGGGACAGGTCCCTTATTAGAAAGGAAAAGGGGCACGTATCATTGTTAAAAAGGGAAATTATCAGAGGTGAAAAGGGGCACTTATAATAAAGGAAAATGTGCATTAGTTGAAAGAAAATTGGCACTGATCAGATTTTAAAGGGGCATTTATCGGAGGTTATCGGGGCAGTTATCTGTAGTGGAAAAGAGTATTTTCTCGTACCTGAAAAGCGTCATTTACCAGAGTAGGGACACTTATGGGAAGGGGCTCTTTGAAATGGGGCACTTATAATTAGGAAAAGGGGTACTTATTAGAAAGGAAAAGGGGCATTGGTTGAAAGAAAATGGGAAAATGGACACCGATCAGATTTTAAAGGGGCATTTATCGGAGGTTAAGGAGGCACTTATCTAAAGTGAAAAGGAGTAACTTCTCGTACCTGAAAAGGGTCATTTAACAGAGAAGGGGCACTTATGAGGAGGGGAAGGGGCTCTTTTTTAATGGGACACTTATCATTTGGAAAAGGGGCACTTATTAGAAATGAAAAGGGGCACATGTGAAAATATAAAGTGCGCTTATCCGAGTTAAAATGGGGGTAGTTGTTAAACGGGGTAGGGGCACTTATGGCAAAGGAAAAGGGGCACTTGTCAAAGTAAAAGAGGCACCTCTCAGATTTGAATAGGGCAATTATCAGAGGTGAAGGGGGCACTAATCAAAAGTGAAAAGAGGCACTTCTCGTACCTGAAAAGGGGCACTTACTAGAGATTGAAAAGGGCACTTATGAGAATGGAAATTGAACACTTATATTGCAAAGGAAAAAGGGGCACTTTTTACAAAGTTAAAGGGGCACTTTTCCTATATGTAAAAAGGGGCATTTTTCGGGTGCTTGAAAAAGTGGGGGACACTATACCCCCCTCCCCTGCCCCCCCCCCCCCCCCCCCCCCCCCCCCCTCCGGACGGCCGCGATGAGGGAGAAAGAAAGATAAGGGGGTGGTTACATTGAGATCGAGAAGGAGATGGAGGAACTGAGAGGAAAGAAAACTAGAAAGAGGAGTTCGGAAAGAGAGGAAGATCGAGGTATATATAGTTCAGTAGCAACCATCTACTTCACTGTCTTCTCTTCTTCTTTTTCTTCATCATCAGCATGCATCAATTATTATTATTATTTATTTTCAGATGACTGTTTTTCATATTTCACATTGACACTCATTAAATAAACCATGAATATTTAAAAGAATAAAACAATTTCTTTTACTTCAAAAGGTATTAAATAATAATAATACATCCAATGATATCAAACCAGGAAATAAGTAATCATAACTCGAAATAACAGACAGAGATACACATATGATATTACCGCAGGGTATTTATCTGAAATTAGTTAAATATACCTGCAATGAAATTTGAGGGAATCTAGTAAAAAGCAAAGGCTTATAAATTGCAGATTTCCTTATAAATGATAGCAGTCTTTTGTGTTGTCCATAGGCCTATATGTTAATAATATATTTATTATCAACTGAAAAGAGAGAGATCGAGAGCAGTATGTATCGGGAGCGATCGGCCGGGATGGATGAAGGTAATGTCTAAGAGGAACATTTTTAATTTACGTTTGAATATATATATATTTTATTATTATTATTTGTATTATTGTTATCATCATTAATTATTATTAATATTGATAGTAGGTCTAATTATCACGTTTATTTAGTATTTAAGTAGTCCCTCGGTGAGGACCTAAAGCCGTCGGCCGTCTGGTTACAAGCATTTATGCTTTCTTCGCAGTCAGGTAAAATAACCACCACCACATTAAATAAATAGTAGTATTATTAATAGCTTGTGACGTAATGCAATGACGTGATGTAAATAAAAGATATATGGCGCTGGCACGTACATGGTCACTGCATGGACAGCCACCGACATTCTGTCTGACCATAGACGTAGGTCTAGAGAGTGTGATCACTTGAACGTCGACACACATTATTGTCATCGCCTAGTGACGTGTCTATTGTGACATGTCCATTGTGATATCATATGCCACAAATAGTACAATATTACCAGGGATATTAGGATATTAGACCCTACTAATTAGTTTCTGCCATTCTTCTAGTCTACGAGGCCGAGGAAACCAAAGCCAAAGGTAAAAACAGAGAGTTCTTCTTCTTCTTTCTTGCAGCTGGTTAAACTTTAGACCGAATTTTCCGTCTCTTTCGTTCGTTAGCCTCTTATTGGGGTAGGGTCGGCTCTCTCTTTAGAGACGGAAGCCGTTTATACACATGTCCTTGCTAACGCCACGGCCAGTTCTGGTCGTAGCGTTTTGCCCCCAAAATCCCCCAAAATGTCATTTTACCTCGAGCATGTTATATTGTAAATTAGGCCTAGGCTATAATAAATCAGTTCCACTTACCAACTTGACTGAAATAATTAGTTTAATAGTCCCTTTTTAGGAAATTATGGGTCAAAATCGAAATCCATTTTGAAAATCTTTTTCAACATGGATTCCGATTTTGACCCATAATTTCCTAAAAAGGGACTATTAAACTGATTATTTCAGTCAAGTTGGTAAGTGGAACTGATTTATTATAGCCTAGGCCTAATTTACAATATAACATGCTCGAGGTAAAATGACATTTTGGGGGATTTTGGGGGCAAAACGCTACGACCAGAACTGGCCGTGGCGTTAGCAAGGACATGTGTATAAACGGCTTCCGTCTCTAAAGAGAGAGCCGACCCTACCCCAATAAGAGGCTAACGAACGAAAGAGACGGAAAATTCGGTCTAGTTAAACTTGAGCATATTGTTGAGTGTGTTGTGAATTGTGTAAATAAATGTGCACGAATTTTTACAGGTGTTTTTTTTATTGTTTTTTTTATCGGGGGCATGATCGGCTTCTGCGATCTGCTATGCCTTGTTCTGCTCTGTCGATCTTCTGAAACCTGAAAAGAAGGCAGTGCAGTGCGTGGAGATTTCAAGTTGACTTCAACCGCAATTTCAGCCTAGAGTCTATATGGTTAGGTAATACTTACTAGACCTTATTATTTCGATCGAGGTCTATTTCTGGCTGCGCTGCAGCTGCCGCGCTAGACCGAAAGCTTCAGTCTCTATAATCGTCGGTTGTACCGGAGGTCTAGTGGAGCCAGACGTAGTCTCAGTGGAACAACCGACGATTATAGAGACTGAAGCTTTCGGTCTACTGCCGCGCCTGCCTTGCACTGTGAATCTGCAATGGTGGAGCTATACCCAGCTACCCGTATAAAGTTATCGGGGTTATGATTTCAAAGTAATAGATATTAGATTCAAGATTTCAAGATTTCAAATTTATTCATGTTTCCAACAAAAGGCAATCCTATACTTTAGTGTGTTTTATTATTTTGGGTTTCTAACTTCAGTTAACAGCTCTACGTGCATATCATAGGGTTAGGGTAGGGTTAGGGTTAGGGTTAGGGTTAACTGAAGTTAGAAACCCAAAATAATAAAACACACTAAAGTATTATAGGATAACCCAACAAAACATTACAAATCAATTTTAAGCATGTAAAAAAAATTAAGAAATACATGTTGGAAACAGAGGGGTCCATTAAAAAGCAATGCTTGTATTAGTTGTACAACTTCAAGTGTGAACACCTCAAATGAAACTTTAATAGGAATAATGAGTAATTTTTAACAGCACATCACTGTATATATATATTTTGCACCTGGATTGAGGCCTACACACATTTTGGACATGGCACACACCACACTGCAGTGCGTAATCTTCGTTGTATGAAGTTGCATTTACCGAGGAAGAAGAAGAAGAACTAATCTGTAACTACAAAAGGAACTACAGTCAGAGTACAGAATAGGGGAAAGAAAAAGGGGGATGCCAAGTTGCCAACAGAGACAGTATACAGTATACACTCGATCTACGTCTTTCGTTCGTTATAGCCTCTTATTCGGGTAGGGTCGATCGTCTCTCTCTTTATAGCCGACCCTACCCAAATAAGAGGCTAACGAACGAAAGAGACGGAAAATTCGGTCTATCTACATCTATGATCTAAGATGATCTAAGGGCGTCCGTCTAAATTTATTCTCATAAAATATGTAACAGTTTAGTTAGAACTTTACTGTAATCCTGTATGTTATATTGTTAATGTCGAAGCTGCCTGTCTATCGTGCATCACACATTTCAGTTCAGCTTTAAGAGGTCTTTATTTGATTGATTATTAAAGGCTACGTGTGCATTTGAGTTTTTGGATGAGAAGGGTATATAGGTTGTTCCAATCTTTGAGTGTGTAAGGGGGGGGGGGGGTAGTGAGCACTATTTTTTTATTTTGCTCCCAAAAATTTGAAAATCGCGCCGGCCGAAAAGTCGCTCAGTGTGGGGGGGGGGGGGGGGGTGTAGTGAGCACATTTTTTGGGGGGTCCTCGAAAATTTAAACATTTGCACCCCCCTCCCCCTTGGGCGCCAGGGGGGGGGGGGGGGCAACCCCCCAAAAAGGTAAAACTTAAGTGATTTTACACGTTTTTTTTCCCACTGACTTAAGCATGGTCTAGCCTGTAATTCCCAGTCACTAGCTTCACTACGTCTGGCATTGTCACATAGTATAGTCTACATGTACTTAGTATGCTTGCAGGAGGAGTCGTGGAAGGTCATGCTTACAGTACTTTACTTTACTTTAATCCATTGATGTTGGTATAAGGACAGAGCCTGTTCATCAATCGATCGACTTAATCCTTTGCATCAATACTTCTGTTTGTTGTGGTTTCGTATCGAGGTGTGTGTGTGTCGAGGGTGAAATAGTTCTGCATTCTTCTATTTACTTTCAAGGTCATAATATGACTGTTGGAAAAAAATCACCTTCTGTATATTATACAGAAGGTGATTTTTTTTTCCAACAGTTATCGAGTTTGTTTTTGAAGGCATTTACGGATAACCACTTCTTCAGATAGGCTAGCTATTCCATGTTCCACCTCAAAAGCCTTTTGAAAGATTCATTTGTTTTTTGTTTTCTCTATATTTTCAGGCAAGTTGCTTATGGGGTTAATTGGCTTTTCACACTTATCCAATGTATGAGCCTACAAGGAATTTTGCTTTAGCTTTGAGGCATGTTCAGTAGTACCTGGTAGTCATTCCACCATTTAAATCAATTACCAATGATGGCAGTATATTATATATATGCATGCTAATCAATGGTCTCTTTATATTTGTTTATAGCTTGATTAAAATCCATCATGATTGACCTGCTTGGAGCTGGAGAGTCTGGCTTTGGTCAGTTTAATGCCCTGACCATCACAGCAACCCTTGGAGTGGTCACTGCTACGCTGGCCCTCTGGACCATCATGAGGCCAAATCGATTTCCTCCTGGTCCAAGAGGCCTGCCTATCGTTGGCAGCATCTTCAGTAAGTCAATATAGATCCTAATTTACCAGGCACCAACTTATACTGATATTCCAACACAATGGGAGAAAAGTACAAAGGGTAGAGAGCCAATTCTCAGAAGAGAAAGAGAGAGATTTTTTTTAAAAGAATAGGAAGAAAATTTAATGAAATACAAAGTCATGCAAATGTCTGTGAAGAATCTTATTAGAGATATGAAACCAAGTAAATCCACACAAAAAAGGCTCCTTTTCACTATAAATTATTCAAAAACATTATACGATACCGGTAGTTTGGTACTAGATTTTCTCATTGACATTGAACTCTAGATCTACATGTATCTGGACTAAGTTTTGTACTTTCTTAATTTTTGCTGTTACTGTAATTGTTTGAGGTTTATTTATACAGCTACACTACCGCTCAAAGGTTTTGGCATCGGTTCCGCTCCGTAAACCGCACCGAACTGTGTACGGTGAACGGCGAGGATCCGTTCACCGTACGCCCAACTTCGGTTCCTCACCGTTTGCTCACCGTTTGCTCACCGTACGCTCACCGTTTGCTAACCGAGGAATTGTGGTTAATAACAAAAAGAAATGTGCGCGCTAAGTCTGCGAGCGCGTATCCAAAGAACTCTCAAAAGTTGCACACGCGTACGCGGAAAGTCAAGTTATTTGTTTTATTTTATCATACCGATGCGCGCTTGCCACTGACGTCACAATCAGTTTATTATTACATCACAATAGTGTAAAAGAATACTCTTTTCATTCCGAGCATAAACACACGACATAATGATACGAAAATGATTATTTACTTGATGTCATTCCCGACAGAATGATACGAAAATGATTATAAAGTTGATTTCATTGCCAAGACAATGATACGAAAATGATTATTTACTTGATTTCATTGCCGACAGAATGATACAAAAATAATTACTTAGTTATTTTTTTGCCGACAGAATGGTTCAAAAATGATTATTTACTTGATATCATTGTCGAGAGAATGATACAAAAATTATTATTTACTTGATTTCCTTGACGACAAAATGATTAATTAGTTGATTTCATTGGCTAGACATTGATACGAAAATGAATGTTTACTTGATTCCATTGCCGACAGAATGATACGAAAGTGATCAATTAAATGATGTCAATGCCGACAGAATGATACGAAAATGATTATTTACTTGATGTCATTGCCGACAGAATGAGACGAAAATGATTACTTAGTTGATTTCATTGGCTAGACATTGATACGAAAATGATTATTTTCTTGATTCCTCAAAACATAAATAAAAATGTGTGTGTTATTGTGAGTGAGTCATGTATGGGGATTTCTATTTTTTGATCTGTATGAATGGAAATTGCCGATTGACTGACTTGATTCCACAAGTTCGGACGTACTGCACATGATGGTCGTTCACCAGACTAGAAAGGGAAAGGTAGCGCGTACATCTACATAGGCTTAGCCAACCAGGCATTGTTTGTAATTAGCTGAAAAAATGTTCTTTGATAATGAGAAATAACGAGTTTGGGTTGGATTTCACAATACCATCATTATTTCAGAATAATTGTTGAATATTTGAATAACGAAGAGCCTTTATTTCAAGAGGTAAAAGCAGCCACAAATACATTGAACATTATAATGGTCTGATAAACTTAAACTACCCCAGCGTGTAACCTAGTAACCCGAAGACAAAACAAAAGCAAGCAAGTTCATTCATCGATACGCGAGGCACGCAAGTTTGATAATTACATAGGACATGAGTTGTTAAAATATTCCCATACCGCTTTGCTCATTCTGGTTTGAAAATACAAACGACCCAACTAAGAATAAAGAAGCAGCTGCAGATTTTTAAGCTACAGATTGATAAAGTATTGCATATTACCTGATTCTATGACGGGATCCCACTTTTAGAATATCCATGTTTAACGATAAATCCGAAAATCAGATGAAAGTTATCCGAAAGATTAATTCCCTTACACACGTCGTTGGAACCATCAATGGTATAGAAGCTAAAAGTCTAGTTTCGGACACAAGAATTCCATTTTAAAACCACTACAACAACGATTCGTACAATCTCGTTCTATCTCGAAATGCTGATTTTCAGATGACAAGTTAGCTCTTCTAATTGGCTAAATAATAATTTGCAAGTTTATTTTTTAAAGCAAATATTTGCTTGTTTTCAGTTGTCATTTATGGTATGAAGTCTGAATTGGCAGACTATACAAGCCCTTTCAGTTTCAGCTGGCTGGGGCGTGTCATATTTCTTAGATAAGAACTGTCAAAACATGTCTGGGAAATGTAATCACGTAAAGGAGGGAGAGAGAAGGAGAGAGAGAGAGAGAGGGAGAGGGCAGAGAGGGAAGTAGAAAGACGGGGTAAGGTAGAGGTGTGGAGGACAGTGACCTCATGTCATTTACTTGTTAATCAATCAATGTCTGACGGGACTTGTAAACATCCATGAAGGGTGATGTCTTCAGATGACCAATCAAAGAATAAAGGATAAAAGGGAAGGGAAATACATGTAGATATTAAAGATTAAATGATATCAGAGATAGGAAATATATGGAACGAAGAGGCGACTGTAACGGAATAAAGTATACAAGGAAATATTTAAATAGATGGGAAGAATCAGAAACTGGATAAGATTAAAGGATTCGGGAGAGGAAATCTACATGGGAGGAAGAGGAGACTTGATATAAATAAAAGGGTGATAGGACGAACACCCCCGGCCAAGGCAGTTATCCCCTCCCCCTCGGAAAATTACCCCCTTTGATTTTCACCCCCCCCCCCCGAAAAAATGCAAATTATCATCAGGGTGGACTTCCCCTTCATTGAACGGGGGGGGGGGGGCGTATATTTGTCCTTGGGGCATATTTGTCCTAGGGGAGCTAATTCTCCGTGGATATTCGTTCCGGGGGGGGGGGGGTATTTGTCCTCGGATGTTATAGCCCACGGGAGTTATCGTTCCTGGGGGGGGGGGGGGGGAGGGTGGTTGTCCGAAGGTTCGTATTTCCGAAATATGTAATAGGGTTCATAATCCGAAAATGAAAATAGGGTCCATAATTCCGAAACTGGAAAAAGGTACCTAAAAAAAAACGAACATTAATAAATTCAGTAGGCCGAGACGGCCCACCCCCCCCCCCCATAAGACTTAAGATATCCTAAATAACTGTAGAGAGAGAGACATAGACGGGGAGAAATAGTACAATACAATGTTATTAAGGACAAATAAAAAAAGGAAAGGAAGGAATGAAGGAAGAGAGGAATATTAGAAAAGGAGGGATAAGAGCGCAATCGGTGATATAGAGTGAAAGGTAGAAGGGGGTATCATTATTGATTGATTAATAAGGTGATAATTGGAGGTCCGAGGCCATCTCACCGATTTCGTTTTATTTTCTGATTCATTTATTGTTTGTTCGTTTTGTTGCTATTTATTTATTTGTTATTGGCTCCCCCTCCTCCCTTTTCTTGTATTTATGGGATTGACTGTCTCCCGTTATTATGGAAACAAAATGTACATCATATTACCCCCCCCCCCCCTCCCGCTGGATCCGCCAATGCTAGTGTTTACAAATAAACTTGATTAATTTTAAAACAAACAAAACGAAACAGGTCAATATATTTCACGAGTTGTATACAAAAAATAGTTACAATAAAGGATCTCCTTCTTCCCCCTTTCTATTCTTCTTCCTCTCTTCTTTATTTCCCTTACCCTTATTCTCATTCTCTCTTTCTCTTTTATTTTGGCGGGGAGGGGGAGGGGGCCAAGCACACTCCTTCCCCTGGATCCGCGCCTGTATTTCAGGCTATTCTTGAGCGTTTTTAAATAAACCACGTCCGCCTTCTAATGTCAGCTAGTATGCTTTGAACCTTACCTAAACATTGAAAATGGATAATTTTGTTAATATTTTCTCTTCATGTGTAGCCTGATAACCCAGGCAATACCTCATTTGCACTCAACCATTAGAAAGAGAAGACGATAGAAGTCAAGCAACATAACATATGGAAAGATAGAATTATCTGGCGGCCGCCAAATAATCTAGCTATATTTCCGTACGTTATGATGCAGATAGAAAGAGAAATAAAACAAAGAATAACATGAGAGATAGAAAGAGAAGATAGCGAGATAGAAAGAGAAGATAGAAAGATAAAAACAAAGAATAATGACAGGAAAGAACAGAAGATAGAAAGGAAAACAAAGAATTTCAAAATGAAAATAGGAAGAGGAAATGATAGAAGTATAAAAGCAAAGAGTAACATACGGAAAATAGAAAGAGAAGAAGGTGGAAGGATAAAAACAAAGAATAACATAAGAAAAGGTAGAAAGTGAAGAAGATAGAAGGAAAACAACATAATCATGATAAGGAAAGATAAAATTATCTGGCGGCCGCCAGACAATTATGACTTGGTTCGTAAGTATATGTAAATTGTATTGGAATGGGAACAATACAGTTCAGTTCATCTGAAGAGAGAGAGAGAGAGAGAACCCCTTACACATCAAAATGTGAGCTGAGCCTGAAAGAAACCGGACTTCAAGAAATCTTTTATGAACAAATTCTAAAGGTCCCCTTATTTCAAAGAGCCCGATGACGAGGGCGCTGGCCGGGAGATTAGAGAAACAATACACCTTTTATGAACCAATTCTAAAGGTCCCCTTAATGGTATTTACTATTTGGAAATTATTTAACGGATTAAATATTGATTGCATATAATGCTTGATAGAATCTTGGGGTTTGGGTACATTTTCTGATGCAAGTTTCACGTCAATTATAGGACAGGAAGCAATGTGTTTGGAGGTATCGTATGTTTATCATGACGCCGAGAAAATATCGATTTGGAAATTGAGAGAAAATTTCATGTACATCGTTAATTTATCCTTTGTGTTATGATGTAAATCCTACTAACATCGTTTGCCATTATGGATTATTTCGGATATGAGAGATTGTGAAAAGAGTAGAAGAAAGAATGAAGAAAACATTTTGCATGAAAAAGCGGGTGAAAATGGATGCAAAACAACTGAATCGTTTGTTCACTCGCCCCAAAGTAGTATTAGTCTGGAAACGCTTGTTGCATTATCGGCGGTATAACTTCAAGGAAACATACAACAGTCTTGCAATTTGGCATGTTTTTAAAAATGAACTGTGTTTGGATAACATTTCAGATGTTATATCAAATGACCTTCAACATTATAGCCCTTGATTTTATCTTATTGTGAAGATTTCAAGAGATGAGGTGTAAGTTGAATGTATATTTCAGTTTGAATTATTTGTTGTAAAATGTATTTTATAACCGAATAAATACCTCTGAAGAGGAAATAAAAATAGAAAAAATCTCTGAGTAATAAAATCTGACCAATAGAATTAGGCCCACCGGGAGCTTCGAACATAACCTTGATATTGCATGCCAGTGAGCAAGTTTTGTTTGTTTATTTAAATACGGTGATTAAAAAACATGATTTCAGCTCTGCATAAACTGTTTTTCAGCATGTCCGTACATGGTACATTAAAATACATATGAATACACTTAATCATCAATATTCATGAGCGCATAGTCACGCGCGGTGTGAAGTTGGCAAGGCTCCAAGAAGTAAGGTCTTAGCGTGGGAACCATAACTTTCTCCCTGCCTGGGTGAGACCGTACATTGCGTAACATGCACTTTCTCTGTCATCAAGTCACTCAGCAATAGATTAAGATAAGAGTCAGTCGTTGAATGATATAATTATGTCAACAAGATAAGAGATACCGTAATTTGTTTCTCTTGAGACTTGGTGGAATGTGACAAGGGCCACGCGAGTGGAATAAATCAAGTTTAGGGTTGAACTATATTTGCGATATTTTCTTAGTCTTGCTTGCTATTATATTATTAAAAAATTTGGTCTTGCTATATATATTACTCAATCATACTCGACAGGATAATACGAAAATGATTACTTACTCGATGTCATTGCCGACAGAATAATAGGAAAATTATTATTTAACTTGATGTCATTGCCGACAGAATGATACGAAAATGAATATTTACTTCGATGTCATTGTCGACAGAATGATAAGAAAATGATTCATTAAATGATGTCATTGCCGACAGAACAATAAGAAAATGATTATTAACTTGATGTCATTGCCGACAGAATGATACGAAAATGATTATTTACTTGATGTCATTGCCGACATAATGATACGAAAATGATTATTAACTTGATGTCATTGCCGACAGAATGATACGAAAATGATTATTTACTTCGATGTCATTGCCGACAGAATGATACGAAAATGATTATTAACTTGATGTCATTGCCGACAGAATGATACGAAAATGATTATTTACTTCGATGTCATTGCCGACAGAATGATACGAAAATGATTATTAACTTGATGTCATTGCCGACAGAATGATACGAAAATGATTATTTACTTCGATGTCATTGCCGACAGAATGATACGAAAATGATTATTAACTTGATGTCATTGCCGACAGAATGATACGAAAATGATTATTTACTTCGATGTCATTGCCGACAGAATAATAAGAAAATGATTATTAACTTGATGTCATTGCCGACAGAATGATACGAAAATGATTATTAACTTGATGTCATTGCCGACAGAATGATACGAAAATGATTATTTACTTGATGTCATTGCCGACAGAATAATAATAAAAATGATTATTAACTTGATGTCATTGCCGACAGAATGATACGAAAATGATTATTTACTTCGATGTTATTGCCGACAGAATGATACGAAAATGATTATTTACTTCGATGTCATTACCGACGGAATGATACGAAAATGATTATTAACTTGATGTCATTGCCGACAGAATGATACGAAAATGATTATTTACTTGATGTCATTGCCGACAGAATAATAAAAAAATGATTATTAACTTGATGTCATTGCCGACAGAATGATACGAAAATGATTATTTACTTCGATGTCATTGCCGATAGGATGATACGAAAAGGATTATTTACTTCGATGTCATTGCCGACAGGATGATACGAAAATGATTATTAACTTGATGTCATTGCCGACAGAATGATACGAAAATGATTATTTACTTGATGTCATTGCCGACAGAATGATACGAAATTGATTATTTACTTGATGTCATTGCCGACAGCATGATACGAAAATGATTATTTACTTGATTTCATTGCCGACAGAATGATACGAAAATGATTATTTACTTGATGTCATTGCCGACAGAATGATACAAAAATGATTATTTACTTGATTTAATTCTTTATACATTAGCAAACGTGATTCCTAGATCTGCATGAGGCTTTATAAAATCTGTCATTGTTACGTCACAATACAGCTTTCAATGCGTGCGCGATCTTAGCTCACCACGTGCGCGCTTTTAGCTAACCGCGATTTCTCACCGTTCAGAGAAATCCGCGCGTGCGCTCTCTCTTGCTAACCGGTTGCTCACCGTATGCTCACCGTTTGCTCACCGTTTGCTCACCGTTTGCTAACCGAGACTTTGCGTCGAACAACAAAATCATGGAGATTAACCTCGGAGGCTAACCGAAGGATATTGCGCACCAAACCGTTACCGAACCGATGTGCCAAAACCTTTGAGCGGTAGTGTACATAATGTATATACTCCTCTTGAAATCTCATCTTGATACATCTTATTGTTAGTTAAATCTTTCATGTTTGTTAACTTTGGTTTTTAGGTTTGAATGATTCTCCTGAGGTTGTCTTTGGGGAATGGGCCAAGAGGTACGGTGATATCTTTGGCTTCAAGGCGGGAGAGAGATGGATGGTAGTCCTCAACCGTCAAGCATTGATCAAGGAAGCCGTCCTCAAACAGGGCGTGGACTTTGCTGGTCGTCCAGATTTCTACTCTGGTAAGTGGATAGGATTTAGTAATTAAATATCAACACAATATTTTATGCCATGACTGGGATTGTTCTTATTTAATAAAGTAATTGTTTTTGTTATGTTTAGATACTGAAATTATCTTTGCAACATCAGATAGAAGATGAAAGAGCAGAGAGGTTATATTAATAATTAAATTAAAGCAAGATGTCCAGATTCAAAGAAAAAGCAATGTATGAGAGAGAAACTTTTAAAAAAATCCTTGTATCTTATTGTTTTCTCTTGGCCATCAAATTATTAATTCCAGTCAAATTTGGTTGACTAAAAGGGCATCAAAATTATCTGCTAGTATTGATCTTTACAGAAGTGGGTAAAATTGATATGTTTTCAAAAATATGTATATGTACAGGGGTGTACGTGTATATTCTTGCTGATATTTTGTTTTCTTCATGTATTTCAATTTGTAGTGAACATTTTCACAGAAGGATTCAAGGATATTGTGTTCAGCCCGTACAGTGAGACCTGGAAACTTCATCGCAAGTTAGCTCACTCAGCTCTCAGGTAAAACTTAGCTAATACAGTCAGACCTGCTTTAGCGACCACCTGTGTGGAGAAAGAATACCTGTTTATACTAGTTAATAATAATAATAATAATAATGATTATGATAATAAGTATGTCTTGTTTACCCAGAGTAGCTTCATCAGTATTAATACTGTTCTCCCTGAGGGTCCTGTAATCATATTACTACCCCGGCTCTATAAAGGCCACATGTGGCTTCTCATTGAAACACGTACTTACCATGCTTACAGAAGCTGTACATAAAGACCACCTGCCTTTAAAAACAATTTCCTTGACTCCCATTAGCGGTCTTTATATACAGTGTACATATAAATCCTGTACTGGGTGTTTATCATTATCATGATCATTGTCATGTATTCAGCTTTACCTGTGTCTTGGGCGGGGCCCGGAGCAGAGAACTGAATCACTCTAACAGGCGCTCGGGATACATGGGCCTCCAAATCTAAATCTGGATCAAATCCTGCCCAAGAATTTGAGTGTTAAACATTGTGTTTTCTTCAGAGTCATAAACGGTTGCCCATATTGCTATATGCTTTTTATTAAGTTCCCTTTTTTCACATGTAATTTCGAAATTATTTAGTGTAAATGCAATACACACTTATGCTGTGTAGATGTCTTTATTGTTCACTAATATCAATTTTGTAAATATGCTATGTTTCGTTAATGTATTGTTTTTTTTTTCATGTGAAATAAAAGAAACTAAAACTCATATTATACGGTTACAGTACAGGCTGTACCTATGGAACATATTACAGGCCCAATTTATCAGTGAAATGGAGCATTCTAAGTCCAAAGTCCAATTTCTTTAAATTTGCTTTAGAAAGTCATCCAAGGACGAAGGGGTTTAAGTCCATTTTTAAACGTTGATGGATCAAAGACCTAGAATGCTTTGGCATATACTGTTCACTCAAAGCGTGGCTTTCTATGAAATTGAATAGAGAAATAAGTTTGATTTGATGTGATTTGATTTGACTTTGTTAGACTGAATTTAGAATTATATTTGACCTTTTTTTAGAATCACAATTTGTATAAAAAATCTGGATTTATATAGCGCTTATATAAAGTACAGTCTCTATAAAAGCGCTTTACAGATATCATTACCCCGGTTATGATTCATTGACACACAATGTGCACCATCTCCACTCCCATGGGAGTGTATCTGCAATATGGTCACCATGACCATATTACCGTGACTACATAGCGAACTAACACAAAGGCTTTTATCATCCTCCATGTCCCCTTTTCTCTCTTGGATATTGAGTGGCAAATGCAGATTAATATCTCGCCAGAAGACACTATAGCCTCGAGTGAGATGATACTCACGACCTTCGCATTTCCGGTCAAGTGCTCAAACCACACGACGAGACACCTAGTTCTTTTCTTTCTTCCTTGCACCCAGGCATTTTGCAACAGGCAAGCCTCTTCAGGGTCTCATCTCCAGTGTCTACCCCAAGGTTGAGAAGAAGTTGGCCATGACGGAGGGACAACCAATAGACCCTAAGGTCCTCATCACTCTAATCATGTACAACGTACTCGCACAGATGTGCTTTGGACTTAGGTGAGTTCTGCCCAACGGTTTTCATACTTGTGAGTAAGCAAGGTTTTTATTTAGTAGTTTTAATTCAAAAGGCAAGGAATCCAATAATATCAGCTTGTTATGAAGCATAAAAATCAGCAGTACAGATGGAGTTGAGTAATTGGAAAGAAACTTCATAGACAGTAAGAAAATTGAATTATTGTATCCCGGCATTATGACAGCGTATACTTGGATTCAGCAGCGTTACGGCACCGCGTCATATTCTTGTGTGCACTCTAACAGCCACATTCTTTGACGGATTTCTTTCAAATTTTGTATGGAGGTGTATCTTGGTATAATCTACACTCCTCTAGTTTTTGGTAATGCTGCCACCAGTGTACCATGTTTTATAGGGTCAAAGATCATATTTTGCAGGATGGCGTGAGTGCACTCTGCAGACCACATTTCTGGATGGATTTCTTTCAATTTTTGTTTACAGATGAAATTTGGTACAATCTACACATCTTTACCTTTTTGTGATGTTGCCCTCATAGTTTCATTCTTTATAGGGTCAAAGGACCATGTGAAGATTACCTGATTACATTTTGAGGTCAATAGGTTAAAGGTCAAAGGTCAATTTAAATTTGCTAAAATATCTTGTGAACGTGATAAATTGAGAAAGAATTGTAGTATTGTAGTAAAACTTGGTATGTACACATGTATGTTTGACCATGTAAAGATTACCTGATTACAGTTTGGGGTCAAGAGGTCAAATGTTAATTTAAATTGCTAAAATATCTGATAATTGGAAAATACTGATCATGTTGCAGGCGGAGGCATATTTTCGACTGTGCAGAGTCAATTTTTGTATAGTTTAAGAAAATCCAACTAGATCACAGCCATTATAATATTAGGATGCTTTTTATTCATTCCCGTTTCATTTGAGTTCTTTTTAAAGGTTGTATAATACATGTTCCAGCGACAATATACCAGTTCGTAGATACAATCTGAGCATGCACGGATTTATCTTTTTTGATCTTTTTAAGAGGGCAAACAAAAGAATCACCTCCATGACTTTAGCTGTGATTATTCCAAAATGCACAAAGTTGGATTTATCTATGTTTAAAAGATATGTGGATATTTGGGGTCATATGACCCATGTGCTAACTACAAACTGGTCTATTGCTCTGCCGTCAATTATTTTCTTTTTTAACTGATTTTTCTTTATGTCATTATTGGAATGCAGTTATGAGTTGGAAGACCCTAATGTTACACAGTGGATGGACGTAAACAATGATGTCAATGAAAAACTTGGATTAGGTCTAGCAGCAGACATCTTCTCTTGGGCCAAGTACATTCCCACCAGCGGTCCACGGATGATCAAGGAAATCACAGAAACGATGTTTGGCTTCCTGCGTTCGCAGGTGGATGAAGCAAGAGAGCATTATGATCCGGGTGAGAGAATTAGTAGATACATATATCACTGTATAAGGCAGGTGTGGGTAGGGTTGGGCAGGGGGCGGGGGAGGGGTAGCTTGGGTTTGCTGCTCTCCTGAGAACTTAAAATTTCCAATATTTGGGCAGCTGTCAACTCAAATTCAAATAACCATCACCTTTTGGTCTTTTTATGCCTCTGTTACAAAGTAGCCGGAGGCATTATGTTTTCGGGTTGTCCGTCCGTCCGTCCGTCTGTACGTCCCCTTCTCGTGACCGCGTTACCTAAAGAACTGATTGATGGATACCCCCAGAAAACGGTAACCCGACACATGCTCCGCCGACGATTGCTCCGCCGACATTTACTCCGCAAAACGCGACAATTGCTCCGCGACATTTGCTCCGCGACATTTGCTCCGATGTCAAATGCTCCGCCGACAGTTGCTCCGCCGACAGTTGCTCCGCCGACAGTTGCTCTGCCGACAATTGCTCCGCCGACAGATGCTCCGCCGACAATTGCTCCGCCGACAATTGCTCCGCCGACAATTGCTCCGCCGTCAATTGCTCCGCAAAACGCGACAATTGCTCCGCCGACATTTGCTCCGCCGACATTTGCTCCGCCTGAAGCGACACTTGCTCCGCCGACATTTGCTCCGCCGACAATTGCTCCGCCGACAATTGCTCCGCCGACATTTGCTCCGCCTGAAGCGACAATTGCTCCGCCGACATTTGCTCCGCCGACAATTGCTCCGCCGACAATTGCTCCGCCTGAAGCGACAATTGCTCCGCCGACATTTGCTCCACCGACATTTGCTCCGCCGACAATTGCTCCGCCGACAATTGCTCTGCCGACATTTGCTCCAACGACATTTGCTCCGCCCAAAAAGTGTCCCATAAACTACAAATGCTACTAGTACTACGACAAATGCTTCGCCGACAATATTTTCTTTACACCTATTTTTTTCGTTTCTTTTTTTCTTCTTCATTTTCTGAATGCATTTCTTGAAATAATGTAGATGAAATGAAATGAATGAATGTTGATGAAGTGGGAGGAAAAAGGAGTTACCTAAAAGTCATTTCGAATATACTGAAATAACTTTCCATCTATCACTGTACGTCCCATATAATGTATACTAAACACTCATTACATGTCGTGGGAAGTTTTTTTTTTTTAAGTAGAGCAGCAAGCCACATTCCCCAATACGCGCATACCTCCTAGTTAATTTCAAGTAGCTCATCAATATGTAATACCTGAAATTACCTCGATCAATGCATCTTACTAGGTAAAGCATTATACAATGTAATAGGTCATCATGGAAGTTTAGAAAATAAGTAAGGGGGATTTACCAAGTGTTGATCTTTTTAAGAGTTTTATAAAGAAACAAAAAGATATTGAATATTTCTCAGCGAAAAAAAGGAACAAGCTTGTTTCGCATTTTAAGAAATGGCGATTTGACTTATGATACTCATGTTGATTTAACTTTTATTCCTGTGCCCCCTCACTCCCCTTTATGCACTGGAGTTCAAACTATGATTTATATGTGTACAGTGTATTTTTTTTTACTATAATGTTTTTTTTTTTATAACTTTCTTGTCCTTTCATTATTGTTAGTTGTTCTTATACATATTGTTTTTTTTGTTTGTCTAATTATTACCAATGACTTGTAAATATGTAATTGTTATATGATTGAAAATTTAATAAACACACAAATATAAAAAAAAAGTTTAGAAAATAAGGGCACTTATATACGTAAGGAAGAGAACCCATTCAGACGGGAAAATGAGATGGCAGCCTTTCTGCTTATTCACATTTATACAAATCATTTTGTTGCAGTTTGATGTTAGTTCTTCATGATAAGCCAATTGCTCTTCTTCCGGTGGCTTCGTGAGTCCCTTAAATTATTTAGTGAAAACAAAGTACTCGAATGAAACGGAGTGTTTTGCACACTAACATATATATATATATTAAAGCTACATACACTTAACTAAAGGAAAGAAACCTTTAGAAAATGGACTGGATATTATTGAAAATATTATTCTAAACAAGAATGTACTACATGATTGTATTACTTTACGTTTCAATTTCACGAGAGAAATAGAACTCGAGAGGGGGAGCAGAGAAGAAGTGATGGAAATGAAAGGAGACTAATAGCATGAGAGGAAAGAAAAGAGCAAGGAAGACAAGAAAACGGTGTAAACAGGAAAAGGAGGAGCATGGGAGAGAGAGAAAGAGAGAGAGAGAGAGATAGCCTTGAGCTTTGGATCAGCTAATGAGTAATACATGAAACAGATTTTGAGCGGAGTAATTATCTTTCGCCGGAGAACTTGCGTAAGGAGCTATAATTTTATTTTTTATTTTTTTAAATCAAGCATTATGGGGAATAGCAAAAAACGGTTGTATTTTTTGCTCTTTTCTTTCCTCTCATGTTATTAGTCTTCTTTCATTGAGGTAATTTCAGGTATTACATATTGATGAGCTACTTGAAATTAACTAGGAGGTATGCGCGTATTGGGGAATGTGGCTTGCTGCTCTACTTAAAAAAAAAAACTTCCCATGACATGTAATGAGTGTTTAGTGTACATTATGTGGGACGTACAGTGATAGATGGAAAGTTATTTCAGTATATTCGAAATGACTTTTAGGCAACTGCTTTTTCCTCCCACATTATCAACATTCATTCATTTCATTTCATTTACATAATGTCATGAAATGCATTCAAAAAATGAAAAAAAAAAGAAACAAACAAAAACAACCCGTGAAAAAAAAATATTGTCGGCGAAGCATTTGTCGTAGTACTAGTAGCATTTGTATTTAATGGGACACTTTTTGGGCGGAGCAAATGTCGCCGGAGCGAATGTCACCGGAGCAAGTGTCGCTTCATGCGGAGCAAATGTCGTCGGAGCAATTGTCGGCGGAGCAAATGTCACCGGAGCAATTGTCGCTTCAGGCGGAGCAATTGTCGGCGGAGCAATTGTCGACGGAGCAATTGTCGGCGGAGCAATTGTCGGCGGAGCAAATGTCGTCGGAGCAATTGTCGGCGGAGCATATGTCACCGGAGCAATTGTCGCTTCAGGCGGAGCAATTGACGGCGGAGCAAATGTCGGCGGAGCAAATGTCGGCGGAGCAAGTGTCGCTTCAGGCGGAGCAAATGTCGGCGGAGCAAATGTCGGCGGAGCAATTGTCGCGTTTTGCGGAGCAATTGACGGCGGAGCAATTGTCGGCGGAGCAATTGTCGGAGGAGCAATTGTCGGCGGAGCATCTGTCGGCGGAGCAATTGTCGGCGGAGCAACTGTCGGCGGAGCAACTGTCGGCGGAGCACCTGTCGGCGGAGCATTTGACGTCGGAGCAAATGTCGCGGAGCAAATGTCGCGGAGCAATTGTCGCGTTTTGCGGAGTAAATGTCGGCGGAGCAATCGTCGGCGGAGCATGTGTCATGGAACCCCAGAAAACTACTCAAGGATAATAACCTCCCGGAATATTACCCCCCGGAAAAATATTCTCAAAGGACACAGTCCACATATCAATAGACTGAGTGAAACCAGTGCCCTGTTTAATAAACTTGTTATCAGTGACAAGTCACAATAAAGTAAGCTACTGAAATTTTGGTATTTGATTGGCTTAGAGCACATCTGTCATAGAAATTAGCATTTGTAATTGATAAGAAGTTTTATGAAACAGGGCCCAGGTTAAACTTAGTCCACCGTTATAAACATGACTGAGTCATTACAGCTAAATGTGTTGCATTTTCTATTCCTCTGCATAGAGAACATCAATGATTTCTACAGTCTACTTCTCAAAGCTCAAGAAGATGCAAGGAAAGAAGGAGAGAACGTGGACAAACTGACCGATACTCACATCTTCCAGACGGTTGCCGATATTTTTGGAGGTACATGTATGATTAATGTATTCATAGCCTGTTACCTATAGGAACCAATGCCCCTTTATTAATTCTAAGAGGGCTGGGGAGGGGGGGGGGGCAGATACCCCTCTCCAAAAAAGTAAATTCTGAGATGACAAAAATTCTTATTTTGAATCTTTTTTTTTTATTGATGTTGATAAATCTCAAAATTTGAAGAAAAGATGAATTCCCAAAGGTCAGAACTAAGGTCAAAACTTTATTTGTTGTATTTTATAGCTGGTATTCAGACAACCGTTGAGACCCTGTACTGGGCCATGGCTCTCCTCGTGACCTACCCAGAAATCCAGGCAAAGATCCGCGCTGAGATCGACGATGTCATCGGCCGTGATCGTCTTCCTACCATCAATGACCGGGGGAACCTCCCCTACACGGAGGCAAGCCTCTATGAAGTGTTGCGGTACAGCAGTATTGCTCCCATAGCAGTTCCTCATGCCACTTCCAGGGATACAGAGTTTGGTAATTATGAGAAAAGCGTCTTCATCAATTAAAAGCCTTTTAATTGGGGGATGGAGGGGTGTATAGGGCACAACTTTTGAAATATACTAGCCACTGCTATGTCAGGCATGTTCCAATATTGCCTAAAGAGAAAGATTATGTGAAAAGCTATGATGGGCTACATGTATAAAGTGTTTGCAAGTGCTCGTAGGTATGGTTAAATGCATTATCCTGTGCTTTCTTTAATATTCTTCCTTTAGCTGTCTGATGTCACATGAGGGACAAGATCATTTTTGAGGATTTTCAAAAATATACCATGATACATACATGTATCTAGATCAAACAGTTGGTAGTTTGTTGTTGTATAGTATAGTATTAATGACTGCTTTGAGAGAAATAGTTGTTTTTATTCGCTCAAGGGAAGGTTAGAATTGTGCCCAATTGTAACCTTCCCGAGAGCGTATAAAATCAACTATTTCTCGAATATTAAAGCAGTCATTAATACTTTTATATGCCGAAAAAATTATGACACCACCTTGGCCTTTTTCTAGTTTATCCGCACGGTTGTTTTTTTATGATTGTTTCTTTGAGAGTAGACTAGATCTAGATTCTACTACTAAGTACTAGTCTAAGCAAGATATTTTTACAATTTTGGGGGTGGGCCGGCCCTGTGGGGAATATGGAGAAAAACCTGCGCTTTCATATGACACCTCACTTATTGAGTATCACCTTCAGGATCACGAGCAATATTAGTTTGAATCTCTGGTAATTAAAACATCGACCAATCTAGCATGATCGAATGCGCAATGGCCAATGGAAATGCATAGGGATGTGTGTAATCTCTACGGGAAGGATCTGCATCTGTCCGTGACGTACAAATCACTACAATCACCAGCATCTGGTTGTCGCGTACTAGAATCTAGATCTAGGGCTACTGAAAAAATTATGGAAGATTTAACGTACCCTTTTTGGTGTTCTTGCTGTCAGCATGTCTCGCATTTGATCCTCATCCAGAAGTTAAAATCTTGGGAGCGTTTCTAATTCAGCCATTTTGGCCTAGTACAGTCGGTCGTCTGCGCGAGTCGGGCTAACTCGCCCCAGCGAGATATCCCGACATGATTTATCGATCGAGAGATACCAGTAGTCTGCTAATTAACGGCCAGGACGAAAGAATGAATGAATCGTGTCGGGACATTTCGACCCAGTCTTTGATGCTGGGTCGAGATGTCCCGTGGGGCGAGTTAGCCCGGATTCGCTGCTAGTTGTATTACAAAATTGGTAAAATATAGCGACCAATTCTTCGCACACGTACGGTATCCTCGATCGCTCAAACCATTTTTTAACATGTAAACCTATGGGGTAACCATGGAGACTGACCTATTTTCCCGGTAACCATGGTTATTGGGATTTTAGAACTGTTTTAACCATGGTTACCAGGAATTTTACAGGAACAGTTAAAGTTTATGAATGCAATTTCGACCAATCAGATGGCTGGATTTCTTAAGTGAGGTATATAAACCCAAACTAATCCACAAAGTTATGGGGGGGGGGGACAATTCTTCAAATTTCAATATTACATGTGTGATGTATAATTAGTTACGGTATATAAATATGAATGCATTATCTTTTTTCAATTGATAAGTGTACTTGTTTCAATTTCACTCAGTGTTGCCTTTCATCCTTTCCACCTGTCTATAAAGGCCATGGTTTGTATCTTTTGAACATTATTACATTGTAAATGGAGCCTGTGTTACAGACCGCTAGCGTATGAAAACCACAAATTGTTGCTTTCATTGATTGTTTCTGGCTCCCGTTGACTTTTCAGGTGGCTATCATATCCCCAAAGGAACCACAGTGATGATCAACACACACTCCATGCACTATGACCCTCAAGAATGGGACCAACCGGACAAGTTCCTTCCAGGTAAAAATGAACTCTACAACGTACCTTATCCAGGGATATCTTTGACTTGATGAGTGCATGGGAGATATGGATATATGAAATTAAGTGATTGAAAAGATGATTGGTACTACAAAACCGGAGAATAGCGTTGAGAAGAGCCATAACTAAAGCTTTTCGACTTGCACTCATCAGAGTGGGATGTGGCTGTGACATTCCCAAAGGAACCAGTGATGATCAAAACCTACTACATACACTATGATCCTCAAGAATGGGATCAACATGATGAGTTACTTCCAGGTTAGAAATAAATTCTATGATGACTCTCCCAGAATATCTTAATCTCTATGAGCTTAGTTTGGGAGAATAGGGGGTAAGTCTGATTATATAATGATCAATTCACTGTAGATTTTCAAAGGCTACTACTATAGGATATGACAACATGGGACAGGACAATATTTTGTTCGTAGAGTATTCACCTCTTAAGCCTTCTTTATGTAGTGCAGTAGAACAAATCATTTCTTTTTCCTGCAGAGCACTTCCTGGATGATGGTGGCACTATCCGTGAGCATCCTCCAAGCTTCCTGCCCTTTGGAGCGGGTCGACGTGGCTGTCTGGGTGAAGCCGTGGCCAAGGCTGATCTCTTCCTTATCTTTACCTGGTTCTTGCAGAACTACACCTTCAGCAAGGCCCCAGGAAAGGAGTCTGAAGACATCTTGAAGATGATTCCTAAGACAGCATCTGGTAGACTCCTTCTCTCCTATGAGATCATGATCAATAAACGAGACTAGTAGGGTCCTGGGCCAGTATTCAAATCAATACTACATCAGAAAGATTAAAACTGTACTCAGCTATCAGGTTAGGTAAAATACTCAATCAACTTTGGTATTCAGTTGAAACTTTTTGGTAATTATGAAACCCTGAATTTATAAGAACGCTCCCTCGCAGGCTAAAGCCAATTATTTGGAGGCTTCGATTGGCAGGCCATAGTAATTTATGAATGAATGAGCAAATTATCTGAGCACACATTTATTTTCAACACCATTGTTGCACATGATTTTGGATTGGCTATGTGATGACACATTTGTCACCAGTACATCAAAGTATTTTGGCTGACTTAAGTTTTTTTAAAACTTAGATGTGATCTGAAATTCTGAATAAGAATTGAGCCATTTTAACTTAGCTAAGCTTAATGCTAAGTGAAATACGGACATAATTCAAGTATCGAATTGAATACGGTTCCTGGGCCTTTATATATGTGGCCTGGTTATGCTGCCTCAGATGGTCTTGTGAGTCCTCTTTTGTCAAATATTCAGTTAGATTGAATCAGGAAAGTGATTTCTTAATCAGTTGAAACACATCATTGGTCAATATAAAAGATGTGGTTTAACTCTTATCATGCCACAGGGCTAATCCCCATTGTGCCAAGCCTCAAATCCCCCCGTGCCAAGTTTATTTTGAGACAATCTGATTGACGTGATGGTTCTATAAATAGCACGTGCGAAACACACAGCACAGTCCAATAAGCATGAACAATAACTGCTATTACGAATGGGTGCAAGCATGCACAAGGCAGCAAAGCAATGGCTCGCTCGCATGTACAAAGCACTATAACGGTAGCATGCATGTAGCATCATGGCTTGCTATGAGTTAAAGGAGTTTTTGTCTGTTGTATTTAGATGGTTCCAGCAACTGTGGAATAAAGTGTGGGTTATTGTATATATTAGTATAAAATTATCAGTAATAATTCTTCTCCATGTTCATTGATTGCCTTCTAGAATTCATTGATTGTCAAAATGTGTTTTTCTATTTTTTTTACTGAAATCAGAATGATGTACATATAATTGAATAATTCTTTGTAATTTCTGCGATGTACAATATCTTATCATGTTTTATATTCTGTCGAGATAAAAATATTTTATAGTAAATGAGGATATAATTTGTAATATCAAATTCTAAACGAAACAATCAGGTGGTGTCCATGGAATGTAGTAGAAAATAAAACATAAAAGTTGATTGAAACCCATTGCCTATTTAGAAGTGATGTTTTGTGTATGGTCATAAAGCTAAAAAAAAAAACGACATTATAAAAAACAGCAACTGTGGAATAAAGATGTGTGGGTTATTGTATATATTAGTATAAAATTATCAGTAATAATTCTTCTATGTGTTCATTGATTGCCTTCTAGAATTCTTTAAATGCCTTCTAGAATTCATTGAATGCCTTCTAGCATTCATTGATTGCATTCTAGAATTCTTTGAATGCCTTCTAGAATTCATTGATTGCCTTCTAGAATTCATTGATTGCCTTCTAGAATTCATTGATTGCCTTCTAGAATTCATTGATTGCCTTCTAGAATTCATTGATTGCCTTCTAGAATTCATTGATTGCCTTCTAGAATTCATTGATTGCCTTCTAGAATTCATTGATTGCCTTCTAGAATTCACTGATTGCCTTCTAGAATTCATTGATTGCCTTCTAGAATTCACTGATTGCCTTCTAGAATTCATTGATTGTCAAAATGTGTTTTTCTATTTTTTTTTTTACTGAAATCAGGATGATATACATATAATTGTATAATTCTTTGTAATTTCTGCGATGTACAATATCTTATCATGTTTTATATTCTGTAGAGATCAAAATATTTTATAGTAAATAAGGATATAAATTGTAATATCAAATTTTAAACGAAACAATCAGGTGGTGTCCATGGAATGTAGTAGAAAATAAAACATAAAAGTTAATTGAAACCCATTGCATATTTAGAAGTGAAGTTTTGTGTATTGCCATAAAGCTAAAAAAAAATGACATTATAAAAAGGAGACTTAGCCATTGGTAGACAGTTGGTGTCCAGAAACAGTTGTTAACATATCAGAGAGAAAAAACAAATGGAAGTTTGAGAACTATTAGAGGAAGAAGTGGAAGTTACAGAAATATTGGACAAGGAATCAAAATATAAGATCACTATTAAAGTAAGGAATCTTCAGGTTCTGGACGATTCAGTCACATTACCTTTGCCTCCTCCCCCCTTATGTCTGTCTGTCTGTCTGTCTGGGGAGATTGGTCCGTCTCTTTCTCTCTTTGCTTGAAACTTTTTAAAATCCTGACTGTCGTTGCTTTAACAAAAAATGCATTCTCATACAAGGACTGTAAATTTGACACAAAATCATACATTTGAGTAACCTTTTTTTCCTCAATCTCATCACTGAAGATCATTTTAATAGTAATCCATCTGATATCATGGAAGCTGAGAAATAATTATCTTTTCATTATTCAATAAAATACATACAATACATACAGATAAACACAGAATAAACGAGAACACTCTTGTAATACAATGCCAAGATACATACACAAAAGTATAGGCAAACAGACAGAAATTTAACAACATCCTTCAAAAAGAATGGTTATTAAGTAGATAAAAGAGGTATATCTTCATTAACGTTTCTATTAAAAAGGGTTTTAATATGCAAATCAGATTTGAACTTAAAAGACATTTTGGCAAAAGAAAGAAGGAAAATGTAGCTCAACAAAATTACTCGTAGAAAAACATGAAAAGTTACCACCGTAAAGAATCTACACAATTAAGACTATAATTGTTGGTCTTCTTTTTCCAGTGTAAGTGCTGCTTCAAGGTGATGAAGATAACTCCTCAATATGACACAATCTACATACAGAGTAAATGCTTGACCCTTAACCAGAAGTCTAATAACTTCTCTGATAGTTTGGTGATGAATGGATGTCAAATAAACATCACCTATGATTTTGCTTTAGTTGGCAGGGGACATCATATAAGCTCATCATTTTCTAATCAACAATAAAAATGGCAAATTCAACTTATGGTAATAATCAATAATCATGATACAATTTCACAAAACCTAAAAAAATACATGTTCTTATCAATTATTCCCTCGCACGATCAAAGCTTGGAACAGACAACATCCTTCAACATTATCTCAACTGGATGCAATTAAATGTAAAGCAGCCTTCTGAAAGGTCCTTTCTTCTTTTCAGTCCACCATCTACCACAACCACCTCTGAGTTAAAATTACACAAAGAATTCTTTGGTGGATCATTTACCAACTACCAAATTACACTCCCATCAAAAGGTTCTTTAAAAAAAAAAAATAATCAATGCAAGGGTTTGAATTTATTTATTTGCAATGGTATTATTCCTTACCATTAGAATTATTATGGGGCTATGAAGTTTAGCCATTGGGGCTAGGAGAGAATATTTGAAAATGCTTTTGCTGCAAAGGAATTTCTTTGACACTAATCCAGCTAAATTCAACTGAATTCTTATACAAAATTGTTTACAAGAACTTCAAAAGGCATGATTTTTTCTTCTTAATACCACAGAAATTAAAGCCACAAACAATCCAGAATCTTGCGAGTACATTGTTGTTCGATGAATAATGACTATTAAATTAATTTTGTGGCAAAGATGAGCATATCAAGACTGATATTGATTATTTAGAAGCCAGCAAAAGAATTATTTTCTGGCAGTTGACAATGTCACTCAAATAACTAGAGGCTTGTTCAGATATGAAGAGCTGCCCTGGATTTTATGATTAATGTGTAGTAAAGCGTATAACACTTTAAATGTACCCGCTGATAATGCATTATGACATCATTTTACAAACAGTAGGCCTGCTTCTTACAATGTCAGATAATCCAAAAAACAATGCAGCAGATTTGCCACATTATATCTGAACGAGGGGTTTGAGGGTTAATAGTTCCATCGGTACCTCAAAATGGTGGAAATATGGGAATTTACTCAAATATGTATATAACAGGTACACAGTTCGATATAGTAACACTCCATCCATACATTAATTAGCAAGGCAGTTGAGATGAAGTCAGAATTATCAAGGATTTTGTTAGGATCAAGGCATTTTCTTCTTCAATCCAATATGAATATTAAAATCAACATGTTCACATTAATACATTTCCAAGGCAAGATTTCCACAAAGGTAAATTTGGGCAGAATCATGTTGACAGCACAAATGACAATTTTACATGTAAACAGTGAAAAATATAATTCATCTGGAGAAGGCTTTTCCTAAATAAATTGTCAAAGGGATTTCAATTCCAATAATATTAACAACAATCTTGGATATTTTTAAAGCACACAAATCAACCATGCAAGGCGCTCAAGGCGCTCTGATAATTGATATCGATATCTGCAAAGGAATATAGAGTACATATAATTACAGTTTATCTATTGCATTATTTGTTTGACAACTAACGCATTACGATATCATTTCAACTATTCTACAAACAAAAGGCCTATTTTTTAACAATGTCAAAATCCTTTATCTCTATTGCTTTATCTTACTGTATCAACACTGAGAAATGCTTGTGAAACTACATATATATATGAAGGACCCCATGAAACTGCCCATAGCATGCTAGTTTGTGGGTTCACATAACACTAGATTATATGAAAGGCTTAGGTGGTAACATAACATCGGTCGTAAAAACATTGTGCAGCATTCCAAAAAAAATTCTACCTCGAGTTGTTACAATAGTACTTGATAGAAACATTGATTGTGCAAGAGCAAAAGCATTATTTTTGGTTGGGGAAAAACAATGTCTCCTTTATTAAATACAATTGTACATCCATAAAGTAGTAATATCCCTAACTCTGATGGCAGTAGCGTTGACAGGAATGATCATGGTGGGGGGGGGGGGGATAGAGAAAGGAGAAGTGTGCTGTGGTTGGATAGTGCAGGGATGGCTGGCACAGAGAGGAGTGAGAGATTAGCGTGTGGTGCTGATGTCGGAAAAGGCTGTAAACAGAGTCGAAGAAGAGGGGGACAAAGAGAGAGAGAGGCAGACAGAGAGAAGGTGGTGGGAGAGAGAAAGAGAGGCAGGAAGGGAGAGAGAAAGAGAGAGAGAGAGAGAGGCAGACAGAGAGAAGGTGGTGGGAGAGAGAAAGAGAGGCAGGAAGGGAGAGAGAGAGAGAGAGAGAGAGAGAGGTCGCTATAGCTATGATAAACACTTCCACTGAAGAGAACTCGACCAACAACTTGATAGCCGAAAAGCCCGAAAGGATAGACAATGAAAGAGCAAGACTGGTAAATTTATGCAGACATGAAAAATAAATAAAAACCGTAATTTTAACATAATCTGGGTGATAAGCAATTAAGCATAGTAAATATTGACCCATTGGTTGTGGGGGATGGGGATACAAAATTTTGCAAATGTATGATTGGGCTATAGTAATTGAGCTTGTCAATTCACATTCAATTTAGCTGAATGGTGTTAATGACTACTGCTCAAAACGGTTATTTTTCTATGACTAATAACAAGGCAAACAAGAAGACATTTTTTGTATGCACAGGTAGGTAGGTTTCAATCATTAACATTGATCGCAGGATAGGTGGTCTTTATAGACAGGTGGTTTATATAAGTCACTGTTGATGCGGATTTGACTAAACATGTTCAGGATAAAGTATTCCCAAGATCAGCAATTAACCAATACAGGATGACATATTCCTGAACTGAGCAATTAGCAAACTGCAGGAAGTACGAAGAATATAATGCTTAGAGGTAAAACAAACACAGGAAGGGAGATCTGCAAATATTAAATACATCAATGTATACAGAATCACCATGTCAGTGAGACACTGTGCTTGGATAGCAAAGACTCTTTATAGTGAAAGTGAAACCTTTCCAAAATTACTGGTAGGAAATGAAAATGGAATGATGAACAGGAATGAATTGAATATATGGAAAGATCTGTTTATGACTAATATACGAATGATGAAAGACATAACAGATTTTGATAACTATTTTCCAGAACCAAAACATGATAAATGTTGTTTTCATTTAAATAAATTGAATCATAAATCAACAAATGAATAAAACACACATATAATGTTGGTGATGACTGTTTTTGAGTAACAAAATAAAATAAACATATAATGAACAACTTGGGAGTAATAAATATAACACACTGAATATAGACTAAATAGAAGAAAATATAATCTGAGACCAACATAACTTTACATATTGCAAATCTAAATTTAAAAACTTCAGTATAACTTCCTTCCAGAGTAAAATCATACTTAGATTGTCAAAGATTACAACTATATAATGGGTTCTAAAATGTAGGCAATCTAATTGGTCAAATGACACCATGTGACTGTGGATCATTCTTTCCCCAACACGCCGTGCAAAAAAGAGAGTTCCCATTAAAGTGATAACCCACAGATAAAAGTGATCATTTTCCTCCAAATGATGCCTTACTCTGGGCTATAATGCACTTCTAAACAATGAAAACGCTTAGAGCCACTTTAGGAATGCCCTTTTTGCTATCATGAACTTTGTTGTTTTTATGCTCCTCTGACGGGCCATGGCAAGCTACCCTGAAAACTGACCATATTCAGCAGTAGAGCCATCTGAGGGGCGTTTCACGAAGCTTGTCATCAGTGAAAAATGACAGTTTTTGTATAAGCCACTGGAATCCTTGCTTCTGATTAGTTATCAGCAGATTTGTCACTGATTTTTGTCATTTGTCATTAAAAAAAAGCTTTGTGAAATGGGCCCCAGGTTTATATTTTAAAGCTACCGGTATACTATTTAGCAACATGAACTGGATTTTATCCATACAAAAGTCATCATCTAACTAACTTCTACAGCACTAAATAAATCTCTAGAACATCCATATGATGTGCAAATCTGATTGATACAAAACAGATATGGCAACACAAAAAACAAAGTTATCTGATTTCTCTGATTCTTGAGCTCATACGATAGTGGATACTTTTAAACAAAATTGTTGAAAACAAAAAAAATAGTTGAAAAAACAACTGTTTCCCGATTGTACATTGATTTAAATTGTCTGTACCCTCCTCAAACTGCAGGATAATGTTGTTTTTCTGTCAGCATTATGCAACTTCCCATGCAACAGTAAATAAGTATAGTGTATATCACTAAAAACAGACACATATGTATAAACTACATACAGGCAGGCACTCATTCCCATCAATTAATGTGTGATTTAATCACTCCTCAGACATCATAGAAATTGACATCCTTCAACTAATATCTTTATCCTCTAGAGCCTTAGAATGTCTGTGAGAAATTATTTCTTTCTTGACCTCTAGACAGAGTTCAGAGTGTAATGACATATAATGTAATTGTAGTCTCAAATAAGTACAGCTGTTCTTTTCTTGTTTACATTCAGCATAGACCTCTGTTTAACTCATTATAATCTGCATCTATATATTCACATATCATGAATGATTGATGAAGATATGACATGCATATGTACATGTAGCTCTTCTATGTATTACAATCTGTCAGAGAGTCCTTTTTAAGGTACCCATCTGTAATAAATTCCTAAAATAAACTGTTTTATGATGCCAGGAGTAGCCCTATTGATCCTTATCTGATTGCTTGGATATATCCTACAGTATCTTTGCACATATAAACATTGTTCGAGAGGTCTTGTAAATTGTGATATGCAGCTTGCTAGTACATTGTACATGTACTTTACAGGGGAGAAGATCCAGTACACATACATGTACACTGTAGAATGCCATCAAACCCTTCAAAACGATCTACTTGGATTTCAAAACCCCTTTGAATAAGGAACTGTCTTTGACAGTCTCTACAACCAAGTTACATGGTGGATTTAACCCAAGACTCCACCAACGGTGGGGAGGAACAGCTGATAAAACATATGTGACCCCTCCTACCTGGGGCCTGTACTCTCAAAGACCTAGAGGGATCAATGCCAGGGCTAGATCCTGCGTCCTGCACTGGACCGGGATTGTGTAGTGGCTCCAGAAGAAGAACTTGGGTCAGTCTTTTAGAAACTTCCATCAAACTGAGCTTGGTCATCAGGCTCTTTACCAGAATGTATTTATTTTTGTTCATACACAGTACCAAGTACCATGTGAGACCACCCATAATGTAGACTTCTAGGCAGAACAAGCAAGAGTGCAGGTCATACAAGAGCGACGTCTTAGAGCAACGATAAGAGCCAAACTCGTTTTTAAATCTCTGGAATGTTTACTTTATACCAAAATTGTACCCACATTTAACTAGATATGAAGGAGGGGGAAAGGAGGAAAGGGGGGGTGATTGGACAGGGAATCATTGGCCTTTAGCTGTTACTTGAACGCGAGTTGACAATCGGGGGTACACGTCCCAAAATCGATGGCATCCTATATAAATAGTCACTCTAACATTTTTGGTATTATCTCCATCAGTCTCTACATCATCACAAAGTCCTAGGAGAGAGATTTCAGGTGGGTAAGCAAGTCCCTAGATTACTCCGCCGAGGTGCAGACCGATCAGGACTACGACCAGGATTATGACGAAGACGACGACCAAGAGTAGGATCTTCATTCTTGTGTTCTGCCACCAAAACTTGTTGCTAACTTTCGCAGCCGTCTTCTGAAACGTCCTCGCCTAATCACAAGAATATAAGAAAAAAATAGGATGGATATTACCATCAGAGTATGAAATTAAAGTAGACTACCACATAGCTAGGCTAAAGCAGGGGTAATAATATGATTGCAAGGGCTTCAGGGAAAACTGTATTAATACTGGTGAAGTTCCTCTAGGTAAACAAGACAGATTATTTATCATATATAAATCAATTCTTTTATCATTGTATTCAATCTCAAAATAAACGATGTCACGTTTTCAGTTAATGCACTTTGTAATGTATTCCCCTCCCCTTCCCTTCTCCTTCACTTTTTTTCCTTTTGTATTGGGGTTCAGGTTTTCTCTGCTTTTCTTTTCCTTTTTTTCTTTTCCCAACAATACAGTGTAAACTTGTTAAGGGGTTGAGGTTCATAAGGCTAATTGCCCTTTTTGTTAACCCCACATTTCCATAAAATTTTGTTTGCTCCTTCCCTTTGTATTTTTCTTGTAATCAATCTTTTATCTGTATATCATGTTTGTATGTTTTAATGTTTTTTATGGAGAATGAAATAAAAATGAAATGAGATTATGACTTACGCTTGCTTCCAGGTCTTCTGTTTTGACGAGAAGATCATCAAGTTTCTCTCCTCTGCTTAGGACCTTGTCAATGTTTTGCGTCATGATGTCCTTCACTTCGTCCACTTGATCCTGCAGAACAGCTATCTTGTCATTTCCACCTCCTTTCAAGTTAGAAAAGTGGTCCTACAAAGAGAAAAGAAATCAACTGTAACTTTATTTCACTTTCTTCTAATGTATTGCTAGGTGAGAGTACTTTAAAGGTAATACAAAGTTTTGGTATGGGTCATGAATTTGGTTCAAATGAATATATTGGAAGCATATGCAATCCTACAATATTCAGTAATCATTGTCACGGTTGAAATTGAGTCTAAAGTTATGAAATTTTAAATAAACTCTTCATATTTCATAGCTCCCTCTTAAGGTCAAGATATTAATTGAGCCATAAAGCAATGTTTTTTGACTAAAATCGACCGATTGACTATGTCCGTTGGAAATTATATATCATAACTACATATTCTGAGATTTCCATGGACGCAGCTACAATTGTATGGTCATAAGCACTATTTAAAATTTATCAAAATTTACCGGGAGCACCGGTAAATTTTGATATTCAATTTTACTTGAAAGCAGAAGTGTTTTAGGGACTAAATTTTCTAGTGCTTATGATACATCCACAGGGGCATCCAAATATATCAAAATTGTAAAGAATCACTATCCACCCAATTTTAAACTAGATGGAATTTTGACTGCCCGCAGTCAAAAATGATGCCTCCGCCATAGAGCAACTTTACAAACCAAAACGGAAGCAATTTTTAAAATTCAAGTTTGATTGTAATCCATCTGTCGGTTTTAATAATAATGCATTCACAAGCTATTTATAGTCATACATAATGAGCCCCATGACCTTTGACCTGATGACCCTAAAATCTAATCAGTTAATTGGCTCTGCAAGATACATATATACATGTCTTGAGTTTGATAGTAATCTGTCTATTGGTTCTCATTATAATGCGATCACAAGCTATTTGTGCATACATAATGAGCCCTGTGACCTTTGACCTCGTGACCCCAAAATCTAATCAGTCCATTGGCTCTGTTAGATACATACATGACCCAAGTTTGGCACGAATCCATCGATCGATTCTTGAGATAACGCGATCACAAGCTATTTTTGTATACATAATGAGCCCTGTGACCTTTGACCTCCGACCTCGTGACCCCAAAATCTAATCAGTTCATTGGCTCTGTTAGATACATATATGACCCAAGTTTGGCAGGAATCCATTGATCGGTTCTTGAGATATTGCGATCACAAGCTATTTTTGAATACATAATGAGCCCTGTGACCTTTGACCTTCGACCTCGTGACCCCAAAATCTAATCAGTTCATTGGCTCTGCAAGATACATACATGATCCAAGTTTAGAGAGAATCCATCAATTGGTTCTTGAGATAACGCGATCACGAGAACGGGACGTACGGACGGACGTACGGACGGACGGACAACCAGAAAACATAATGCCTCCGGCTACTTTGTAGCGGAGGCATAAAAATTCCCAAAACTTTGTATTACCTTTAAGGAAAATTGTACTGTCGTATTTGCTTCTAAAAATCGTACTAAATACGACAAAATCGTACTAAATACGACTAAATCGTACGCAGGTCTGCGTGTCCACTCGACCACAACACCAGCAGCCCCATCTGATATCCCCACTGCATGCTTACCATTTCCTGGCCTAGGACCGAGCTGAAATCTCTATCCAGCTCCATCTCTCCTGCATGGTGGACCCTCTGAGCCAGACTGCAGTTAGCCACCTTGGTCATGATCTCCATGATGAAGGAATACGCTGTCTGCTTCCTGAAGTCAACCGTCGTGGCACACATATAACAGATGCGGTCCTTGATCACGACATGGAATAAATAGCTGGAAGAGAAGAAGATTGGATCTCTGGTATTAATCTTCCACACAGGAATGATACATGATAGGAGATAACTAACCCTCAGCAGAGAGATAGCTTGTTTTTGTTTACCATTTTCCCAACAGGCACTCCACATTTTGTGCTTTGTCTCAACATATTTTGATTCAGAGCCTTAGAATTTAATACCAGATATACATGTACGATTCGAAAGACCAAACCTTTCTGCACACACTGGATACAGTTTTGCTGCATTATCACATTGCATTTAAAAAGCAATATTAAGCTTGTGCCCTTTGACCTAGTTACTCCAAAATCAACTCAGATCACGATAACGAGAAAGCGGGACGGACAGACGGACAACCCCAAAACATAATGCCTCTGGCACCACCTTTGGTGGGCAGAGGCATAACAATGCACAGGTGCAACATTTATGGAAAATTTGTTCCAATATTGTCTTGCCTGACGGGCATGCAAAGCACCCGATTAACTGCTAATCAAGGATTGTAGCTCATGGACAGTTTTAACACATTCAATATGAGTTTCTGCTAGACTTACTCAGATGATGTATAGACAGACTTGTAGTTATCATGAGATGCTAGGTTCTGCATCATGGAACCAACCACTTGTTGGAAGTTATGCTCATAGCTCTTAGACACCTCCACCAAGATGGTGGTCCCTCTAGCGATGCAGCTGTAAAGGATCGTCATGGTAACGGATGATTATTGGGCTTTGGTCTAGGAAAGAGTAGTACTAAAGTTGGAATGGTTGTTTGATGTGTGTTGCCTTGAGTCACTGCAAAGTGATCTGATGGAGTTGGTTGTGTACCTATAGAATTATGAAAGAGAAGAAAGAGAACAACAGTAATAAATATTATTATCTATAAAATGTAAGGCTTCCAAGTGGTAAAAAAAAAAGTGTATTCAATATCTTTAGCGTAGTATCCGGAAGACTGACCAATATTGTTTTCGTATTGCTCAGTCATCGGGGGACTTCAACTATTGATATCGATATCACACACAAAAAAAGCCATATTTACCAAGGTAAGTCAAATTTTGTTATTTCGCTACATAGTCAGCCTGATATTGATAATGATAATATTATATGGCTTTGTTTTTATGTGATATGAGAATATATTGCTCTCGCTATGGCAATATTTGACTCGTCTCTGACTCTTTCAATATTGTCATAGCTGAAGCAATATATTCTTGTATCACACTCAAAGCTATCCAATATTATATAAATATTAGCTACTTGCATAGTGATCATGTCTGCCATGTCATGACACTCATGGCACTCTTTAACATCCCAATCCTGATCAAAGCTAAGCAGCAATATACATTATATACCGCTAGTGCTCTACACGGAGCATTGGGGGTGTCTACATGTCTATATACCTGGGTGGAGAGTGGCAGCCATGGATTAAAGCCTTAAAAGGATCCGGTAACTTTGCCTCAGATTCTGAAACAAAATCCTGGATTTAGCTCATGCTGCAATCATAATTATAAATCTTTAGGTCATTCAGGAACCCCATGACTTTTACAAACCGATCGCCTGTCTGATTATCAGGATATTTATGATTGGAAATCGAAACCAAATTAGCGTTTTCCTCATGGTTCTCATTACACTACAGTCTACTGGGCGAAACGAGTCAATGGTAAAACGGGTCACTCAAAGTTTTTTCTTTTTTAAGGCACTTCTTAATCATTTTGAAGCACAATTTTTTTAGGGCTTCAATATTACACCATATCAGAGACACTGATAACACGTAGGGCCATGCATCTCAGATTTAACATTGTTAAACTCAAATGTATCTTTACAATCAATAGTAACTTCAAACTTGCATTCAGTTTTATGTTAACTATAGAGTGATGCAATGTATGGTAAGTTACAACTAATTGGAGGAAGAATGGAGATACAATTTTACACTTTACCATACATGTACGTCCAATTTTAAGTCACAGTCCCCTGTTGATTATAATGGTTAATGCTGGAAGCAGATCCCTGAGAGATGGAATTAAACATCTTAATGCTTATAAACAGAATATTGATGTACATCAACGAAAATTAATAAATACAATACGATACAATACAATACATCATTTGACTTTACTCAGAGACTAACAAACTACAGTTGTAGGTATACGTTTTAATACAATTAACCATAAACCATTTATAATTACAAAAATTGAAATAATTAACAAAAAACAGCTGAAAGATCATGTAGACAGTAAGCCTGTACATGTCTAGATCAAACAATTTATAGCCTACTTGGATATTACTGGTATATGAACGTGAACATCGTGCTTCACTGTGTATCGTTGTTGCTAGGATGCAAATCTTTTTCCTGAATAGCAGAATAAATATGGTTCAACGGTGACCTTACATGTGCCTGATTTGCTCCGATCAATCATATCAGGTATCCTTTAATCTGCCATTCAAATAAATTATATAAATTTGGATTCAAATTTCCTGTGTTTTTTCTTCATAACATTTTTAATTTAGTCAAATAGCCCTGGAAAGAAAGGAAATGTGTTGTACACACTCCTTAAGGTGGAGAGAAAATGGATAAGAATTAAATGGGTGAGAACAGAAAAATAGAAAAAAGAAATGAAAAAAGAAAAGCTAAAAAGAGGGCGGGAGGGTATGTGTGTTAGAGAGAGAGAGAGAGAGAGAGAGAGGGGGAGGACGAGAGAGAGAGAGGGGGAGGACGAGAGAGAGGGGGAGGACGAGAGAGAGAGAGGGGGAGGACGAGAGAGAGAGAGAGGAGAACGAGAGAGAGAGAGGGAGGATGAGAGAGAGATAGAGAGAGAGAGAGAGAGAGAGAGAGAGATAAGGAGAGGAGACGCAGAGATGGAGGAATACTGAGTAACTTGTTGGAAATAGTAGACTGATTTTAAAGACAAATTAACAAAACAAGGGAATATGCTAATGTATTTCAACATCCACGAAATGTACAATCTTCTAAATGATGTTTTTTACATTTAACAAATCAACGGAACATGACAGATTAAACTTCAAGGTGCTGCTTAAAACGTTCTAGTCATTACACTTCACTGTGAAAATGATATTCCACTTGAAGCAACTACATGTATCACCGGGCACAAATGCGTGTGTGTTCATAAAGTGAGATATGTCTGTCCGTATTAGTAACGGAGAGAGAAGTAACATTAGATTTTATAGACAGATGGTCAAATAATCATCTGCTGTTGTTCTTGTTGTTGCTGCTGCTTTTTTTGTGCTTTTTATGGTAGCATTCTTTATTGCATCCATTCAGTACAAAATATAAACAAAAATCATACATCTTCATTGATTTACATAACATATCAAAAAGTAAAGAAAATTGTACATCCCTCAGAAATACATAATATATAATGGTACATGTACAGGTGTGTACATGGATACAATTCAGAAATGAATATTTACGCACATCTCTGCATTTCCCATGTCTATACATTGTAACCTACTGTACTTGTCTAGGGCTTTCCAGGCAATTTGTTTTTTTATTAATATACACATAGTCGTATATACATAAATGAAACACTCACATCTACTTTTGAATGTTATACATGTACTGTACATCTAGGATGTTCGAGAAGTTTCATAGTTACGGGAAGAAATATAACACCCTACTGTAGCTGGTGCCAAAATGCGGATTAGGCAAAAGGCCAGAATTTTTTAAATATCCTGTGGTATTTAACTTATTTTAGAAAGATCCTAAAAATATTTTGGCTAACTATAAGTCCAACATATGAAATCTAATGAATTGACGATATATATCGAGTATTGAAAATGTTTACATGTATGTGTGGCGGATATGAGCACTAAGGTTACAACCATGTTCTGCCTCTTGTTACATCATGCATGGTGGTCCATGTTTAGCATTGGCAGTTGTTTATCCATCTTCCCCATTGCAATTTAAAGGGATTGGATATCTTTGCCTCAGTTTCTTAACAAAATCCTGGATTTAGCTCATGCTGCAATCATAATTATGAACATTTAGGTCAGTCAGGATCCCATGACTTTTACAAGCCAATCACCTGTCTGATTATCAAGATATTTGCGATTGGAATTTGAAATTCTTTTATAACACTACGGTCTATTAGGGAAACAAAAACATGCTAATTTCTAATAAAAATATTCTTTCTTTCTCTTTCCCTTTCCCTTTCCCTTTCCCTTTCCCTTTCCCTCTCCCTCTCCCTCTCCCTCTCCCTCTCCCTCTCCCTCTCCCTCTCCCTCTCCCTCTCCCTCTCCCTTTCTCTTTCTCTTTCTCTTTCTCTTTCTCTTTCCCTTTCCCTTTCCCTTTCTCTCTCTCTCTCTCTTTCCCTTTCTCTTTCTCTTTCTCTCTCTCTTTCTCTTTCTCTCTCTCTTTCTCTTTCTCTTTCTCTTTCTCTTTCTTTTTCCCTTTCTCTTTCCCTTCTTTCTCTTTCTCTCTCTCTCTCTCTTTCTCTCTTTCTCTCTCTCTCTCTCTCTCTCTATCACTCCCTGATATGTGCAAAACCATTTTGTCCAAAATTAAGACACTACATTAACATGATTAGGGCAGACTGACAATGAAAACATATTGTTGAAAACTCTTTAAAAATAAACTTTTGTTTTTGAAAATTTGCACTCTCATTTCCCTAGTCACAGAGATGCCAACCTTCTTCAACAAAAAAAAGAATTCTTAAGAGCAAAAAACAGTATTTTGGGACAAAAAGCAGTATTTTTGAAAGAATCTCTCAACTTAACATATCGCCCAATCGAGCAGCTTAAAAAAACCCGGCAGTACCACATTTACGTACCCGGATCGGAGCGCGACGTGCATACATTACATGTGGGTTGTTCGCAATGTGCGCAGTTTGGGGCCCGTATCACAATCCTGCGTGCATTGATTGAAGATGTAGGTGCATAATACACTTACGACACAAAGCCCATGATCAGAAATTAAGAAAAACGTCTCTAAAAAAAAAAAAATTTAAAAAAAATTTAAAAAAAAAAAAAAAAAAAAAAAACGTAACAAAACATACAAAAAACGTACTGCCGTATTCATAGCGAAAAAACGGAACAAAAACGGCAAAAACGGAACAGTTGGCATCTCTGTAGTCATGTTCATATTACCTTCAACCATGAATACTAATTAGCATAATTAAGTGTTTTAAGGGAAACAGATGATATGAATCACTGTTGCAAGAATATCAACAGAGATTTTAATTATCATCAATGTGTCAGATTAATTAATTAACTCCACTGTTTTTACATCGATACTCAGTGACAAACTGGCTTTCTTTACACTTAATGGCATGCACGCAAATAAGAAATAAATTACTGTGCGGCTTACATTACATGTTTAGTACTGTACTCACGGAGCGACAGGAAGTTTACCATTAGCAAATATCAGATGCATACATGCCGAAAACAGATGGAATTCATTTTCACTGAATAAACAATACAAAATTTGACAAATATATTAAACATGGTATTATTTTGAATTAAACGTTGACTGTGTATTACGAGATTTAAAAAAAAGAAAAATCCATTACAGTACAGGTAATGTAAGCCTACCAATCAAGAATATATTTTTGAAGCTTGCTTAATTTAAAAAAAAAACATTTTAAGCTTAATACTTGCCTGTTTTTAATGATTCTACAAAAATGACAAGACTATTCATTTCATATATATTTCACCAAATGTGATAATGTAATACCACACCACACCATGGGCATGCACAACAAGACATCATTACTCACCTGCACGTTATTAAACCTCCATCAATAAAGCTTGTACTGCATAATATATATCGCCTCAATATCCCACAGATTGCTGTAATATTCAACGCCTTGTTGACAGATGGGACCGGCTGACAGGAGGGGCACTGGAGCGACTGAGCATGTGAGCCAGCCGAGCTGTGCACGAGTCAGGAAGAGTCGGTCGGTCGTCACGGAGTGGATGTTTGATCGATGGCAACCAAAGTGAAGTGGAACTTCCTTCTCTTGGCTAGCCAAGTGCTCATGAATCATCTATCACAAGGGATTGAGAAACATGGTTTAATGCGTCGTTAAAGGATCTTTTTAATAATTACTAATGTGTCTGGGTTGTCATTAGGGTATAAGCGGTCGTATACAAGCTAGACTAGGGGTGTTCACACCTAAAGAAAAAAGCGAGATTTAAAAATCAATTTTTGAATCGCGATCCAAAATAGTTTTTTTTTAGTGTGTGGACAGTATACTTTACTAACCTTCGCGGTAAGTCTTGCAATTTTTCAGAATAATCTTGATAGTTTGCCTGGCACTGTATGTGTGAATGGTATTGAGAATCAAAAATCAATTTATTTAATCCTAGGATTTCAAGCATGCATAAATCGTTGAGATTCACGCATACGCAGATCAGACGTTCTGGACGTCCAGCGGGAATGGTCGCCAAAAAAAATCAATCTTTGCATCGCAATCCAATTCGCACTAATTGACATGTGTGAACAGTCGCAAACAAAAAATCAATCTATGCATCACGATCTAAATCGCAATAAATTGTAATGTGTGAACGGGCCTATTGCAACTTGAAATGGAAAGCACTTTACATAACGCATTATAATAGTAGAAGTGTACATAATAATATCAAGTGCTGGACAAACATAATTTTTTCATTTTAATTCAACATGCGTGATGTAGTATAATATCATTAGGGAGCTTGGTTCATACATGTACTTGTACATGGATATTTATGCTCTGATTTGAGGATTATAAATCATGAATAATTACACAAATTGCTGCTTTCTTTTCATTGGTCAATTTTCTTAAAACTTGCTGCCTAGAGTAATTTCTTACATTCTTAAGCCCCCCCCCAAAAAAAACAAAAAAACAAAAACAAAAACAAAAACAAACAATTCAACTACATGTACTTTCCTGAACAACATTTGATATCCAGAAAATGTTGTAAACATGAAAAGAAAATGAAAGAGAAATGAACTTAAAGGAAAATCACACTTTTATTTTTAAAACAGAAATAGACAACAAAAGAAACATGGCTTTATAAGATTTGTTTAATCAATGATTAAAAAAAAGATTTTCCTTTCAAAGTAACTTCGAAAAATCCATTTAAAGAAAAGATTTACAGCAATATTCATAGTCATACCAAAGCAGCATTTACAGGCAGGCAATTTTTAGTTGAATTTTATTTACTATCTTTTTTTTTGCTTCCACTGTTATTGTATAGCAGTTCAGACAAAAAAAAATGAAAAAACAAGGCACTGTAGCCTCACCCAGAATAATTCCAAAAAGGGAAGGATGGGCTTTTTTCTCGGGCCCTAGGAGAATTACATACAAAATGCAACGCCTCTAAAGGTGAATAGAATTGCAAAAAGAATTAGCTTCATTAAGAGATCAAAGTCCACAGTGGAGTGTGGCTCATATATTTTACTGTATTAATTTTCAATCCCTATTTCCTCTTTAAGTAGCCAAGCCTGTGTACATGTACGATATGTACTTTACATGTACACATGTATGTAAATGAACACTCATACAGTTTTGGACATTGCCACAAAATTGTTCACCTGTCTTCGTCAGAAACAAGTTTAATTCATGGCAGTTTTTTTTCATTGCCCATCTAAAGATCTTTAAAATGGGAAGGCCATGTAACAAAATTTATGTGTTTCTCGTCCACCCCTGCACTGATTTCTGGTGCTTCTTCAATATTTGTGTTATTTGTTATTTTCAAAAATTCCCTTTTTTTTTCTTAATTTTTTAAAATCATAGTTTGAATGTTGCATAATGATTTAAAGAACAATCCTATACTGCTGTGCCACTGTGTTTTGTTTGTAGTACATAGTCATTTACCACAAGCAAGCACTAACTGTTTGCACTGTATGGTATCAAACCTTTAGTTACTTTACTGCATGTATTTAGTGCTTGTCTGTGGTCTGTGAAAGAGAGAGAAAATCATTCAATTTCTGATTTGACAAACTGAAGAAAAACCTATGTGATAAAATATCATCCACTTTACTGCATAGATACAATTGTATGATCAAAACCCTTGTCTCAGCAGCAATTTTATAAATGGCAGCCATCTTGAAAAAAATAACCCCCCAACACAATCAAATAATAACTATAGTAAGGGCCTCCCTCACTGTTTCGTTTTTAAAGTCTGAACGAGAAACACAATATTTGTTTTACTTGGCCTAAACATTGCTTGGAGAGTATCAAGTATTAACATGCAAGTTAACTCCCAAATTAAAGCTACAATAATGATGATGACGACGAAGACGACGACGATAATGATGATGGTCGTGGTGGTGATCGTGGTGGTGGTGGTGATGATGATGATGATGGTGATACAAGTGTAAGGTTTTAATTTCACTGATCAAAGTGGTTACTTGTTTATTTCACACTGTACATTTAGTTTTCCACTCCGATATGCTTTAGCGCACTCCTGACCTACATTCATTCTCTCCTGTCTGCTAGCTCTTGGCTTCTATTGTTCTGTCCCTATTCATTCATCCTCATGCACATTACCTGCTATAGCACCACACACACACACACTCTTCCTTATCTCTTAGCTATTCAACCCAGCACACATGGCACATGGCACTCTATCTTTTACAAGCTTTTCTATTGGTTACTTACTTATTGTCCAATCTTGTGATTGGTTATTATTGTTTGATGGACTGCATGTCAGCCATCTTGGCAGCCATTTTGTGGTTGGAATAAAATCTATAGTGCAGCTCAAGTCCTCAACCATGTGAGACCACTTTTGTTTTGTGAGGGACTTTACAACTGGTGCCAGCAGTGGTTTTTCTGCACTTAACTGTAATTGCAGCCTTCCTTCATATGTAGAAATTCCTGCAGTGTTTTTAGTGGTGAGTTGCAAAGTGAAATTCTCCCTCCATCTGTATATGAATGTGAATGTTTGAGAGCATGATATCACCCTTCTTCTCACTGATTGACCTCCCTTCATTTTAAGCTGAGGCAGCTAGAGTTTGTGTGTATTCAACCTCCTTCATTAATTACTGGAGTTTCATCTTGGCTTTTTGAGCCTTGATTTCTTCCTACATCAGTAGTTTTGTGAATTCCTTCATTCATCCTTCATCAGTAAGTGAGATTTCCTTTACCCTTCTTCATACTGGAGCTGTATTTTGGTGAATATTCCTGCATTTATCGATTCGTCAGTGAGTGAGGTTTTTTTTTCTTCGCCCTCCATACAGTTCTGTATTTTTCTAGCAACTTATCACAACCAGTTTGCATGTGTAGTCTGCCTTTGGCTGCCGTACATTACAGCATTCTGCCATATCAACCTGCATATTCTACATAGTGTTGGCGTAGCAACGTAACCAGTTGCAGAATACACCCTCCTTCCATCATAGCCGCTCGCCACAGATATTTCAACTGTTGAGTTTGCATTTTCTTCATCTGCACTCAGAGTGACCCCCCCCCCCCCCCCCCCTCCACATTGACTCATTCAGTAAGTTTTACTGGGTTGATATCTTGTTGATGATCATATCTGTTGAGTTGATTGCTTATAACTCCTACAGTATGGCGTCTTCTCGCATGGAATTGCCAGAAGTGTTTACGGGAGAGAACGGCACAGACTTCCGTCAATGGATACGCCGATTTGAAGTTGCTGCACAGGCGTTTTCGGACACTTCTATCAACTTAACCACCCTCCTTCCTGCAAGACTAGCAGGATCAGCCTTCATCGTGTGGGAGAGCTTGTCTGCTTCGGACAAGAAGGATTTCAAGAAGATGAAAGAGAAACTCTCTCAGGTTTTCGGCCGGACACAGTTTATTGACACATTCAAGTCTTGTATTACTGCCCGAACTCGCCAACCAGGTGAGCCGTTAGAGGTGTTTGCATCAGGCATTGCTTCCTTAGTGGAAGAGGCTTTCCCGTCCTATGATGACAATGCAAAAGGTGGTGAGAGATTTCGACGATTTGTTGCCGGGGTAGACAAACCGCTTCAAGTTAAGATTCACGAGCTCGGAGGCTTTGATTTTGACGAGGCCTTGAAGATCGCACTTCGTGTAGAAAGAGCACACCAAGCACACGATTTTGGTATAGTAGCAGCTGTAGATGATCGGGTCCAGGACAAGACGCCTGCAGAATCATCAGTCTTACGACTACTACTGCCAAGACTCAACGAGTTAGAAAAGAAGCTGGATAGGATGTCTTTAAAGTTAGAGACAGTTGAAAGGCCTAGCAGATCTCAGCAACGCGGTGGCAGCCCATCAGGACGCTCCCATGAGGGAAGACACATGGAACGTCGTGGGTCTCCGTCACCAAGCCGTGACTACCGAAGACACAGGTCGCCAGAATATGCAAGACAGAGATCTCCAGAATATGCAAGACACCGATCTCCAGGATATTCAAGACACAGATCTCCGGAATATGCAGGACGCAGATCTCCTGAATATGCAAGACGCATATCTCCAAGCCCTAATCGGAGCTACGCATATCAATCTAGGACTTCACTCTCTAGACGGCCCTATGAATCGTCTAGCAGCCGAAATCAGCAGCATCCTTCCACTGCAGGTTATCAAGTTGACTCCCATAGACAGGCTCCCTATCGTCAAGTTCTTTTTGAAGACCAGCAGCAGGGAAACTTCTGGTAGTTGAGGAAGTGGGCCATTCATCAACTACACAAACCAAGGTCCCAATACGAATAGCACCTATTTCGCCAAAGAAATCGCCCTACATCCCTATCGTTATCGACAATGTCTATGTATTGGCACTCGTAGATAGTGGATCATTCATCTCTCTGTTGAGTGCCAAATTTTTGTCATCCATTCCAGCATCGCAAAGGAGCCCGTTGGAAAAGTTGACATCCATGGCATCTACTATCACAGGTGGGCTGGTAGACAACATTGGAACAATCGTACCATCTCTGCACTTAGGGAACAAGGCTACACAACACAAGTTCGTTGTTGCACGCAACATCACTCATTCAGTTGTCCTTGGATGGGACTTTATTGACAGCCAGAATGCCTGCATATCGCCAACATCGTTCAACATGCCTGGAAATGTTATTCCC